TTTTTTTTTAATGTAGAGATGGAGTCTTGCTAGATTGGTCAGGCTGTGGTCTCAAACCTTGGGCCTCAAGTGATCCTCCCATCTCGGCCTCCCAAAGTGCTGAGATAACAGGTGTGAGCCACCCCTTGCCTTGTCCTGATCTCAGGGGAAAGCATCTAGTCTTTCACCATTACATATGATGTTAGCTATAAGGTTTTATGTAGTCTTTTTTCTTTTTTTTTTTGAGATAAGAGTCTCACTGTTACCCTGGGTAGAGTGCGATGGCATCATAGCTCACAGCAACTTCAAACTCTTGGGCTTGAGTGATCCTCTTGCCTAGCCTTCTGAGTAGCTATGATAGGTACCTACCACAATACCCACCTAGTTTTTCAATTTTTAGTAGAGACTGGGTCTCACTGTGGCTCAGACTTGTTTTAAACGCCTTAGGTCAAGTGATCACCCACCTTAGCCTCTAAGAGTTGCTAGGATTACAGATGCAAGCCACCTCAGCCAGCCTGTAGTCACTCTTTATCAAGTTTAGAAAGTTATCATCTATTCCTAGCTTGCTGAGTTTTTATCATGGACGAAGGTTGAATTTTGTCATAAAAAAATTTTGGACCTGAGCGTAGTGGCTCACACCTGTAATCCTAGCACTCTGGGAGGCCAAGGCGGACGGATCAATTGAGCTCAGGAGTTCGAGACCAGCCTGAGCAAGAGCAAGACCCCATCTCTTAAAAAAAATAGCTGGGCCTTGTGGCCAGCACCTATAATCCCAGCTACTTGGGAGGCTGAGGCAAGAGAATCACTTGAGTCCCAAGAGTTTGAGGTTGCTGTGAGGTGTGACAACACAGTACTCTACTGAGGGCAACAAAGTGAGACTCTTATCTCAAAAAAAAAAACCAAAACTGGGAGTTACTCCCACCTGGGTGACAGAGCAAAGAACCTGTGTCAGCCCCTCCACCACTAAAACAGGAAAAAAAAAGTTGTGAGATGAGGGAGACCTCATTTCCTCATAGCAGGCCTGAGCCATGATAGAAGAACCTACTTCAGCACTTAAATTACATGAGACCAATAAATGACTTTTTCCTCAAACCAAGAGATGGAACTCTATTTGCTAACAGAATCCTGCCTACCTAATTTAATTGTAAAGCAGAAAGTCCAGCATAAGTAATCACTGACGTGGCTTGGCCTCTCCTGACCAGGGGGGTATGGACTGCTTTGAGGTTCCACAGGGAACAATCTTTTCTGCTCCCACCTCTTCTCCATGTCCTCCCTCCCTCCACTTCCCACCAAAAGAACACAGGCAGCCAAAGGCAGCTTGGGCAATACTTGGTATACATCATACATTTATTAGTGAATATCCCTCTGAAATCAGCAACAATATTAAAAAAAATAATGATTGCACTACTTGGTCAAGCAGAACTAGCAACTTTCATTTTAAAAAAAGTACAAATCTGTTAAAAATTTCAATCAGTATACACATATATAATACAACATACTAGTTATGTTAAATGCTACAAACCAATGTGAATCCAATGGAATGGAAAAAACCACACATTTAAGCTTTAAGAACCACTTTTTTCTCTATATATTAGCATTTTCTCAAATACATACATGGGAAAAATGAGGTAACTGTAAAATGTGCAAGGAACAGGGCCCCCCAAATTACATATATTTATATATATATATGTAATTATGTATATATATATATAAACCTTTCTAACACAATACAGGCGCTGGGCCCAGCCAGGGCTGGGGGAAGGTGCCCACTGTCATGCCTACGCCAAATGTTGGTAAATAAGAGAGTAAACAATGACAAGCCCCCACCACAGTAAATCATTGGTAACATGGCATCTATAGCAAGGTCGGCAAATCACAAACACCCTAAGTAATTTTTTCATAAACCTTTTTTTAATGATGTTTTTTCTTTAAATGTTGTATTTTCCCCCCAATAGCTGTGTGTTGGAATCACTACTGCAGTGATCTGTAAGCCCGTTTCCGCCTGCCCCAGGGACCTAAGGGTTTTGAAAACCTTTTGTTGGGGTTGGGAAGGGAGGGGGATTTGAGAGGGTGGTTCTCTGTGTAAAACACATGGGTTTTCAACACTGCTATAAATATAGAAACGTCACCTGGAGTTATATACAGTAAGACTTTGGGTTCTCCATGGGGGTGGGACCAGACTGATGGGCCCCATGGCAGGCGAGGGTGGGAGGCAGGGAGCCAGGGCTGCTGCGGGAAGAACGAGGGTGGTTGGAGCATCCCTGAGGCAGCAGGCGCCAGGGGGTGCCTGCTAGGATGTGCCGGCCCCACACGCGGTTCGTTCAGGGCAGCAACCCCAGCTAGGGGTAGAAAAGGAATGGGACTAGGGAGGGCAGAAGGATAGGGAGCTCAGCCAGACCCTACAGGGGCCTCCTCCAGACCTTGGAGGGCAGAGATCAGGCTAGGAGGGACCTCCCAGAGATGGGGGTCCACACCCTCCCTGGTCACCATGCTCCTGGGATTTCCTTAGAGAAGAGTCACCCAGACAGGTGGGAGATGGGTCCTGGCTGGAGAGGGAAAAATGCCCTGAAAAGCGTACGGTCCCGGTAGGCTCTAGGGACGTGTGCAGTACAGTGCATGGCAGTTATCAGCTGAGTACAGACCCCTCAACCCTGCCCATGACCGCCAGCTGCCCAGCCCAGCCCCAGCCACGCACATGCAAACAGACTAGGCAGCTCAACTGGACCACTCTCTGTCCTTTGGGCACTCAGTCCTGGTTGGTCCCTAACCCTAAGCCCATTAAGCCAAAGGAAAGAGTCTTAAGTATCCACATCCCCAAATCCTATAAGCAATTTTGGGCCAAATGAATAAATGAAAATTGCTGATCCTCACATTCATGCAAAACAACAGAGAGGGGAGAAAATCGAGCATAGGTCTGGCAGTAGGGGAGCTACCAGGAACACAGGGGCTCACTCTCCCCAGGCTCCCCAAGGATACATGTGCCTCAGCTCATGTCTGGTCCCCCATTTGCTCAAGAGGCCCAACTGGGATCCCCTCCAGGCTGAAGGTGGGGCTGGAATGTTGTACCTAGGGTGAAGGTCCTCTAGGAAACCAGACCCACTCCTCACAGCAGCCTAGCAGAGCTAACTGCCTGAGTCTGTCAGATCAAGGCAGGAGGATTTTTCCTCGGCTCAGGGAATGGCCTCGACACTGTCCACGCACCTGGCAGTGCCACTTGAACAGAGAGCATGCTACTTCAGTGCAAGAGACCAGATAACTCAGGATGGCACCCCCGCCCACACATACCCATTCTGCAGCCAAGGATCGCCACCAGCCACACTGGAGGAATGGACCCTTGGCTTGCAGTGCCAGGAGAAAAAAAGGAGAGGGGCCCAAAGGCAAATAGGAAGAGACCAAATCAGGGACACTCAAGCAGCTCCGTGGCGGGCAGACAGGCAGGCAGATCAGGGAAGGAGTCTTTGGAGCTTGGCAAATGCAGGGGCTTATTGCAGGGGCTTCTCATGGGGTTGACCCTGGCACCAGCTCTGGAGATGCAGGTGGGAATGGCAGGACAGACCTGGATCACTCCCTCCTCTTCCTCCTTGCCCGCCCCCACCCCCCCCAAGTTTCCAGAGCTTTGGGCAGGGTTCTCCTGGGCAGCTATGGGGCTTCACTCAGCCTCTCTGGGCACCTCAGAGGCGTCGGCCCGGCAAATGGGACACGTCCGGTTAGCCTAGGGAGATCAGCACACATCAGGCTTCACTCTCACCTGTCCCCCACCCCACTCTCATCTTTTCAGCTGTCTCGTGGGGCCTTGACTCTCTGAAGCCAGAACTTCTGGACGATAAGGATGAAGAGGGAAACCCTCTAGGCCTGCCCTCCTCCCTCACCACATGGGAAAAACCTGGGAGCCAGCTAGGGCTGCATTACCTTCAACCACTTGTCAACACACTTGGTGTGGAACTCATGGCTGCAGGGGAGGACTCGGAGCAGCTGCCGGGCCTCAAAGTCACTGAAGCAGACCACACACCTGGGGAGGGGTACAGAGCGTCACCTCCACACAGATGGCCAAGGGAAAGGGAAGGTGCATCATACAGTATGATTCCCCCAAACATGGGGGTGTCCCACTGCAGCCCTGCTGTGTTCAGAGCAGCAGGGGATGAGGATACAGAGCGCAGCACTCACAGTGTCTGTTCTGACTGATGGCTGTCTGGGTTAAAGCGGTATGACGGGAGCTGCTCTATGTCTGCTTTGGTGAGGCCTCGGGGCTTGGCATCTCCCAGACGCTCAGCCAGGTTCAGAAGGGCCTAGAGATGGCAGGAGTAGGTGGTTAGCAATGTCTGGGGCTAGTCTCCCAACCCCGCCCCCCAACACAGGGTCTACGGGACCTCATAGTTCTCCATCTCCACATCATCCACATCCAGATCCAGGCTGATGGTGGGTCCCATTGCTGTTGGTGACATTGGCAGCATCGAACTAGAAAGACAAGTGTGGGGACCCAGGATCAAGATCAGTAGGTGTGGGGCAGAGCTGCTTCCTTAACTCCTTCATGCAAACAAAGCCCAGAGCTCTATACTATTCTGCTGGGGACCCTGGTGTTTATTCTAGGACATTGTAGAAGGGCAGGGAGTCCAACTAGTGTGTGCACTGTATGTCTGGCTTGGTGAAGATGCCAGATAACTTTGGAGGCCCTGGAAACCCCAGGGGGGCGGTGTGTGGGCCCAACCTCTAGAGGCCCCAGGAAAATAGGACATTGCAGCTCTGGGGCAGATGTGTTGGTACTTACAGGAAGTAGGGCAGGAAGCTGGGGTAATAAGGTGGTGGTGGTGGTGGTGGGGGCGGTGGGGGCAGCGGCTGTTGTAGGCGGTATCTCTGGGTGCTGAGTCTCCGTGGCATCATATGAGAGTAGGGCTGTGAGAAGGGGGCCAGGTGCAGGTCAGCCCAGTTGGCCTGCCTCCCCATTAACTGCCTTAGAGCCTGGGTGGGTGTTGGAGACGGCACTCACCACACCAAAGGACAGCTCCTGGTGCAGGGGATCGTGGGATAGGTAGTGCAGGGGCACTGATGGGGACAGTGTGGGGCCAGGGGCAGAGGTGGAATAGGTGAAGCTACCCAGAGGGCGCTGGTCCCCCCGCAGGTCCACATCGTTGTCGAGCCGCTGTAAGGGCTGGAAGAGGCAGAAACAGATCAGCCAGCCAGTCAGTCAGACAGGGAAGCCCCCACCATGCCATCACCTCTAGCGTCAGACCCACCCCAACTCACCATACGTGGGTGCTGGGTCTGCAGTGATACAAACTGCCCAAGAGGTGCCATGTGGGTGGGCTGGGGGGGTGGGGCCGGCGGTGGGGGGTGTAGGATGTAGTGGTCACTGGAAATGAGGTGAGGATAGGCCTGGTAGGGCACAGGGAGCTGCTGCATGGTACACGCCTGGATGAGCTGCCGAGAGAGAGGGTAGGGGGAGCTGGAGAACGTTGTGGGATCTGGGCTGGGCATATGCTTGTGATGACAGCTGGGGCCATTCCATCCAGCAAAAGGTTCTCATTGCATACACATACCCACCAACCCCAAGGCTTGCACAAGAAATCCTCTGGAAGTCCCACCCCTGCCCTAGGCCACCCACGAAGGTCACTATACTGTTAAGGCCCCTGTCTGTGCTATGCAACCTTGTAAGGCAGGTATGGTGTACAGAAAGGTCCTTGAATCCTGAAACACTCTATCTCTGTATGTGAACACATTCACTCTTCTGGAGAAGGCCATGGCTGGAGACTGGGCAGCACTCTGACAGCCTGAATAGGCATCCTCTGCTCAGCTCAGTGCAGGGCTGGCCTGTGTCTGTTGGACTACCCTGCTAGAATAGAGTGCTAGAGGGCGGACCCTGGGGCTTACAGGAGCAGAAGAGGAGGTGGAAACACTCACTCACCGGGGGCGGGAGGCAGCAGAGGGGGTAGTGCTGCCCGCTGAACATCACGGAACATGCTGGGAGCTGCTGGGCACTGCAGCCAGGGATGTGCTGGCCTGTAGGCAAGGGGAAGCCTTGGGTCGTCACTGTGGTGACTGTGTAGGACAGAGGGACAGCTCCCTGGTGCACCTGGTGGAGAGAGAGCCAGGAAAGTGTCAGGAAGAAGCCTGGCCATGTGGGCCACTCTCAGGACAAAAAGCCATGCCAGGGCCAACTTCCTTCCCTTCTTTAAAAGGGGCCCTACCTAGGTATAGACCAGACTGTGCCCCTGTTCCAGGACCCCCAGGGAGAGCCCTCTGGGAATCTGAGAGGGGCTTCTACCCCTGCCAGTCATCCAGAGTGGCCCTAGGAAAGACCCTCACCCTTCTTTGGGCCTCAGTTTACCCACCTATAAAACAGGGCTAATGTCTCCCAAGAACATGAAACAAGTTAAACAAGGTAAAATTAGGCCTCTGCTGCCTCTGCTTCTCAAACTGGCTTTCCAAAGGGTAGGAGGGAACAGGGGTGGTGAAATGTTCTGCCTACCTGCTCATGAAGATCAACCATGAACGGGCTCTGTTGGGTGGCTGGGTGCAGCATTCGGGGGCTCCCGCCGGCAGGAGCCGAGGCTCGGTGCTCCTCTACCGGGAGGTGTGGTAGTCGGGGCAGCGGCTGCTGGGAGGGTAAGTGCTCATCCTGGGCAGGCAGGCTGGCCAGGGGGCCCTCACGGCCGGGACTGCACCACAGAGAGGAGGCCCTGATAGGACTGAGGGGTGCCACTCATTCACAGAGCAAGGAGAAAAGCCAGGGTCACTACCCCCATTAAGGAGGGAAGAGAGCTCAGGGCCCTGTGCCCACCTCCCAGCCTCTGTGCCCCAGCCAAGCTGGCAGACCAGTACCAGGACCAGGAAGCTCCTTCCTACCTTCCCCAGTGCTGGCCAGGAGTGCTGCCGGGTCCTGCAGAGAATTGCCGCTGACCCACAGGGGCAGAGGGTGGCCACCTAGTCACTGACAGAGCCCATGGTTGCATCAGGGGTACAGAGGGGTGGAGGGGCTGGGCCGGGGCTCACAACCCTAGGAGGCAAGTAGACAAAAAACATTAAATACAAAAGAAGTCCAGTCACTTGTTCCATTAGGGGTCAGGGAGACAAAAGCAAATCCTTGCAGGGTGATTCCAGGACCACTGATGTTCACCATACTCTGTGCTACATGTGCTCTCTGGGTTGGTTCCTCCTCTGGGCACTGGGTCCAGTGCTTACAGACAAGGGGTTGCCTCAGCCTGCCAGAAGCCTAAGCCTCAGATTCCTGCTCTGTGAAGTGGGATCAAGTCCCCCTCTAAGCTGCAGTGAGTTCAGAGCTGACTAACATGCTTCCAGGCCAGCTGGCTCCAATAAGGCTCTTGGTGAGAGGGTCTCCAGGACACCATGCCATTTTTTTTTTTTTTTTTTTTTTTGGAGACAGAGCCTCACTTTGTCGCTCTGGGTAGAATGCCAAGGTGTCACAACTCACAGCTACCTCAAACTCCTGGGCTCAAGCTAGTCTCTTGCTTCAGACTCCCAAGTAGCTGGAACTACAGGCACCTCCCACAACCCCCAGCTATTTTTAGAGATGGGGTCTTGCTCTTGCTCATGCTGGTGTCAAACTCCTGAACTCAAGCAATCCACCAGCCTTGGCCTCCCAAAGTGCTAGGATTACAGGCATGAGCCACTGTGCCCACCTGACACCATGTCTAGGTAGAGGGGTGGAGGGCAAGGACCTTCTCTGCCTTATGCCAGGGGGTACAACTTGGGCTCCAGGCAGATAGAGGCTCTTGGGGAGGCTCCAGCTTCTTCCCTTTCATTTAATTTGCTTTGGAGGGATTCAAAACAGGCCTGAAACCCAGTTTTCCTCCTCCTATTGCCAGGTAAGAGTTGTTGCAGATGTCATTGTTTAGCTGGCTTGGGCCAGGTTCTAACCTACCAGCCTCGGTGTATGTGGCTGGTGCCAGTAACCACTATGCTACAGGTGCTGACCCAGGTAAGAGGTTCTAATCTGGTTCCGGCCCTCAGGTATTTCAGTCTAAGGCAAGATAGCATTCTTTCTTTAACCTGTTCCCACAGTGCCTACTCATCATCTCTTCCAGGAAGGGGCTGTTAGCCCATGTTACAGAGACAACTGAGGCTCAGCAAGAGGAAGAAACTTGCCTAAGGCTCCACAGTAAGTGTCGAAGTTGGGAGCTGGGTTGACTACAAGTTTCTCCCAGCACCCTGCTGCCAACAGAGAGGACCAGCCCAAGGCTTTACAGGAGGTGATGAAGGAGACACTGGTAGGGTAGAGTCTGGGAGGTGGGGCCTGCTGAGAAAAAAACAGGAAGCAAGAATCTAAGAGGGGAAGTTGCATAGGAATGGGTTGGGGCAGGGTCTCCTCCCTTAGGTCAGAGGTGAGAGTACAGGTGGGGGAAGTTGGACCTGGCTTCACCCCAAGGTTCTATTTAACTTCAGAGGTTGAGACAGGGCTATGAGAGGGAAAGCTCTGGAAACTGTCAGCCCCTGCAAAGTTGATGGATACATCAAATAGGACCAGCCTGCTGCTATTCCTGTCACTAGAAGGGCTCCTCCACCCCTTCTCCATCTAACAAAATTCCTTTGCATCATTGATACTCAGTTCTCAAGCACCTCCCTGTTGACACAGCTAGAAGCCAGTGTTACTGGTAGCTCAACATCTTGTTCCTTCCTGGCAACAGTGGTAAGAAGCCTTTCCTCTGTGCAGGGCTACAAGCTTGGGTCCTACTTCAAAGAAGCCTGCATGGGAATACCTTTCCCACTTTTTAGGACAGCAGCTGGCCCAAACCACACAGGTGGGAAGTGTATTCACAATTCTCCCACTGAACCCCTGGCTCTGGCACTCAGTAGAGGGTGTGGGCAGGGCCCAGCAACCACTTTGTGTCTAGCACAGGGCAGGCCTGATGTGATAAATGTACACTGAAGAGGGCAGATCACAAAGGTCAAAGGCCACACAGCCTGGCAGCAATGACATTACTACCAATCATGAGGAAGATTACTTAAAAAAGAAATCTGGCCTTTTATGGGAGAGAAAAAAGTGAAAATTTTGGTCCTGTTGGGCCTCATTTCTATTAGGCCCCTTCACTCAGTTACTCCAGGTCTGATCTCTGTCTGCTCATTCCAGGTGACTGCGTTTGTGATCCCTGGCTTGGCCCAAGTGTGTATCGTCACACACAGCAGACTTGATTCCTGCTGACACTCCAACCCAGCAAACAAGGGCTAAGGGTTAGAGGAAATCTCCAAATAACTCAAAAACAGACTCCTGGCCCACCCCAGACCTGGGCTAGAAGCCTGGAGGGTTAGGGAATAAGGACATCTAGATTTTTATCAAATTCCCCAAAAGTTTCTGGAGAACTTCAGCTGGGTTTAGGAGTCTCTGCCCCCAGCTAACCTCACAGATCCTGGGAACCCACAGTTCTGCTGATTTGGACACTAACAGCAGTAACTGTTATTTCCCATGTACCAGCTCGGAAGTCCTCATAGCAACCCTCAGAGAGAACATACAGGCACAATGGCGAGGTTGGCTGGAACTGAGTGAGTTAGGACATGACCCAGGTAGTCTGACCATAAAGCACCTGTGATTAACCACCGAGCCAGGGGCCCCAACTGCTCCTCTTGTGCCAGGCTGTCTTGTTGATGTCTGGGCAACACCAAGGCTCAAGGGATTCACACAGGTGCCCAGGCCCATGGGAATCAGTCTGTAGCCAGCTCCCTACAAGGACACCTACTCTTCAAGGAAGGGAAGATGATAAGGAGCTAAGAAACCAAACCAGCAGATAGAAGGGCCTCCAGCTGTGGGTGATAGTGCCCTTACCCTTACACATCACACTCCTGAATCCTAGCTAGAGTCTTGGCTGAAGATTTTGCACACATGGTTTCCCCTCTCTGAGCCTCAGCTCCCTCATCTATAAAATAGGAACAGCCTACTAACTACCACCCAGTGCATACTCATGTCATGGAAGGCTCCAAGCCAACAACAGAAGTAATTTATAAAGTTTGAGCTCTGAATGATCACTATCAGAAAATACAATATGCTGATCTCCATCGCCAAACCCCTGCCCAGCAAAAAAAAAAAAAAAAAAAGGATGCCACATCAAGCTCTGTAGAGGGTAGCAGAAAAATATGCTGCTACAGGGGAATACCCCAGTTGGGAGGGGAGTGGCTCTTGGTTGTTTAAGTCCTACCAGGAACAGAGGTGGCACACAGGGAACATATCCACTTCACAGTTGAGAAAAGTGAAGCCCAGAGTAAGGGAAATAATTTGTTCTAGGTCACAAAACCAGAGAAGAACAGAATCAGTCCTAGATGGTCCCCTAGGCCCAGAGTCCCCCAGCCCCTGACTCATCAGCACCAACAGTCTGAGGAAATCACTTAATCCCAAATCTCTGTTCTAAGACATAAAGAAGATTGGGAGAGCATTTGCTTTCGGACACCTGTGATTAGCTCTGTTGTGGAGAGACATGAGGCCCAGAGTAGAAGCTAGCAACTTGCTCAAGGTCAAACAACAAGCTGCTTTACCTTTCCATATCTCCTCTGTGTTGTGCTTTCAGTGAGATCTGGGGTCTTGGGAATCCCATCCCTGATCTTGCTTGGACAGGTAGGCACCATAATTTGTGGTACACACACCCCTAGTCAATTTCTTAAATCCAGTGTCCCAAGCAGCTACCCTGACCCTGGTCTAGGGAGTCCTTGACCTGTTGTTTGGCGCTGTGGCCTAAGTGCAGGAAGAAGCACTCCCCTTTTGAAGATGAACAAAGTCAGAACCTAGGAGCAAGAGTAGACAGAGGCAGAAAAAGAAGTCCTCCTCCCTACTCCCCTGCCCCTCCCACCTCAAAGAGTCAGGCCAAGTGCAAGAGATCGGGTGGTGCCCAACGGGTGGTGGCTGGAGGCCCTTTAAGTCTAGACCATGAGACTTGGAGCAAGGAGTCCTTGGCCAGCTCAGACTCCGTGGGTGACCTTGGTCAAGGAAATCCCTATGCTTCATAAGCCTCAGTTGCCACAACTGTAAAATGGGGGTGGAAATTTCTCCTTCCCAGAGCGCCCAAATAAAACCAGATGAAACAAAAAGAAACCAGGCGGTCACTAGTGGAGGGATGAAACTATTGTCCCTAAAGGGCAGGCCCCTACCCAAAGCAGGCCAGGTACAGGTTGTGAGGCTACAGGAAGCTTCCTCAGTCACCCCACCCCTCCCTGGGTATGAGGCTAGGGGGCAAGGCACGGGCACCCTCCCCGAGAGGGGCCTCCCTCGTGTCCCTCCCACTCCTTTGTGCCGCGCTCAGAGGGACACTAGGGGCGTAAGGCCAAACTACAGCGCCGCGGCCGGAGCGCCGCTGTGACTTTAAGAGCTAAGGATCCAGGACCATGTGCTCGGCGTGAGACAAAAGCAACAACAAAGGAAGTGGCGGCCGCAGGGGGAGGGGGCGGCTCCTTCCTCTCCAACCGCAGCGCTCAGCCTACGGAGAAGACCCAGCCTGGCCTTGGGGAGGGGCCCCCCTGATCTCAGGGGTTTCACCACCCCTAGTCCAGGTGACTGTCCGTGATTAACCCCTGCGGAGTTAGCTAGAGGACTGCCACCATTCCCAGAGGAAGAAAACAGGAGTTTCAGGGGTGCGGCAATCGGGAGTTGGGGGAGCCCTGGCCCCGACTCACCTTTGGCCACCCGGGCACACGTCGATTCCTTTGTTCCCGATCTAGGACCGCGAAACTGGGCAACGGGGCGGGGGGGGGAGCTGCCTGGACCCTTTAATAGCCCCCGCCCTGCGGAACAATGTGCTCCCCTCCCCACCCCCGGTCCGAGGGCAGCCGGCTCCTTCCGGGGCCCTCTCTCTTTGTTGCCTGCCCGACAGCGTCTGCCTTGCGAGGCACACGCGTGGTCAGTCTCTCTGCCCAGGTCCTCGGGCAGCGAGAGGCAGAGCAGGACGCAGCTGGGTTTGTGCGGCTGCCTGCAGCTGGCCCTTTAA